AAAAAATAAAAAAAAAAACGCCTCTGCCCACCCCCTTGGCAGGGCTATTGACGCCTCCTGTCGCCGCGAGCCGCCTCCCTTTCTTTTGCCTTGATGCAATGCAAGAATGAAAGAAAGCAAAGAGGGAGAGCAATAGAGCGAAGCATGTGCGCCCCGAGAAAAAATAAACCAGGTGGGCCGCGTGTTGATTTTGAAAGCGCAAAAGAAAACAAAAGGGCGATCACCCCTCCATCACCATCGCCACCGCCACCACGACTAGAAGCACTCTGCTCAGCGTCTCGAAAGGAAAACACCCAATGCCATTGCAAGGAGCGTCAGAAGAGCTGCGGTCAGCCCAAACCACTGCGCACCACCATCTTGTGCTATTTTCTCTCCACATTCAACCTCAACACGGTTGCCACTCGCGCCCGCATTGATGCCGGAGAGACGGCCATCACCCCCATTCTCCTCCAGTTGCTTCAGTGAGTCCAAGTCCTTTTGGTACTCTTCAGGGAACACATCCTTGTAGATTGACATTTGCTCCACATTATAGCGGCAACTTTCGCGAGCATACCTCTTTCGCTTCTCCAGGCTGCAAACCACTCCCCCTGTGGTTGGCTCATCTTCAATCATAAAGGAAAGCAAACCGGTTAGAATCGTGCCCACTCCCCACAAAGGACTCCATTCCTCCGGATGGTAGCTACTCATACTGAGGCAAATGCTTGTGTCCGTCTTGAAACGTCCGTTGGGCGTTAGAAAAAAAATATCAGGCGGTTTAAGTGGATAATTGGGAGGGAAAACCAGCTTTCCAAAGTATCGACCACCCTCGTAGGGCGTATCTGCTGGGCCACTTAGAATGAAGTACCATAGTAAGATGCTCCTCGATGAAGGAGTGGTGAGACAGAAGGGTTTTGGTTCCTTCTTCAAGGCATAAAGCTCCTTTTGCAGCCGCCGCACGCACTGTGGGGTTGGTTGCTCCGGCATCTCTTCCTGCGCCTCTTGCTATTTCGCTTCCGTTTGTAATTTCTTCTTCACCCTTTCCCTTACTCACTTAACTGAATGATTCACAGAGTTGCTTTGTTTTATTCTTCGTTCCCGGCCGCCGCCACCGCCGCCACTACGGCTTATTCTTCTTATTGTTCTTCCCCCCTTCCCTAGCTCACTCACTCACTTCTTGCTTCTTTTTGTTTCAAATTCTCTAAACCAATAACTAGAAAGAAAAAAAACGAAAAACAAAGCGCCAAGCTCCACCTTGTGCAACAAGCCCACCTCAACATCGGCCATTTCTCTTTTTCTCTCTCTCTCTCACTCCCCCCTCTCTCTCTCACACACAAAGGCGCGCATTCACACAGATGCAGAATGCATATACCACCATGAAAAAGGTTTGTGAGAAACTCTTAATCTTAATTGTGATTACAGTTTCCTTCCACATCTTGTTCTTTCAAACAAGGAGTAAAAAAACGGATTGGGACTACCGCCGTCTTCGCTTTCTCCCAACCGCCTCAGAAGACGAGGAAGATTCCTCAGTATAGGATTCCTCGCTGGACGATTCGTCCTCGTCCTCGTCCTCGTCCTCTTCTTCCTCCTCCTCCTCTGTATCTTCGTCACCGTCATCTCGAAGGATGTGGATATTGGAAACACCCCTGCGATCAACAGTGCTTCCCCCACGCCGTCGGACCAGACGGTACTTGTGTTTGTTCTCCCTTTGAAACTGTATCATCGCCCCCTTGAGGGACGCCTCACCCAAACAAATGCTGTAGAAAATTCCCCCCTTGCCTTTGCCAGCTGTGTTGCCGAACATGAGAGTGTCGGGAATTTCCACAACAACTTTCCCTTCACGATATGCTGCTTCAAGCAGCTCCGCCACTGCCCGGGGGTATGGGCTCCAGGCTCGTGGATCATCGTCTCTCCCGTTTGCCTTGCTTTTCCACTCCCAGGATCCCATTTTCGTCAGAGAAGCTCCGCTCTGGCTGTCTTTATCCTTGTTGTGCGTGGATTCGCTATGCCGAGGTTCTTTTGTTGTTGATTTGGTGGTGGTGGTGGTGGTGGTGGTGTCACCGCTCTTGCTGGCCCTTTGCTCAGGAACATCAGACTGCCCCATTGGCATCGCTGGAGGCGTCTTTTGCCTATTTATTAAGGATTCAGACGATGTACCGATATTGCTTAAATGATGTGTCAGCTCTTCTTTCTTTTTTTGCTCTTCTACCTCTTTCTCCTTCTCATCTTGTTGCTGTTTCTGCTTTTCCACAAGAACGCTATCAAGGATACCCTTCCAACCTCTGGCGGTGCCAATTCTTCTCTCATTTCCTTTTTGCCCTTCTTCATCCTCCTCATCACTATCACAATAAGAAAGGTAATTTTGAGGAACACTGGGTATCTTTCCACTGTGAACGGTCTCCCCTTCGTTAGAGCCAGAAAGAATGTGTCGCACGGTAAATTGGGGCAACCCTAATTCTTCAGGGAAGTGAAGTGTGGACACCCCAATATCACTTCGACCACTACCAAGAAGAGGCCGATGCTTCTCCCTAATTTCACTTTGCACAAGAACAACATTTTTACCACTTAAACTGACATATGCATCAAGTTTTGTTGTATCATCATCACTATCAGTACGTGGGCGGAACTCCAACCCGTCGCTCGTCGCGTCACAGCCTGGCACCGGGAGAAACTCCATCGAGTGAAATGTTGGATTCCTCCCAATATGCCGCACAAAGAGAGAGGGTGGCTTCCACTCTACAGATAGATGTTGCCTGGAAATGTACCTACTATCCAGCCGCTGTGCAACTGGCAATGACTTGTCCCTTCCAATAATGACTGCGACACCGGGTTTTTCAACCTCAACGATGATGCCATCGCTCCGCTCAAGAAGCCAACTACCTATTGAGTTCATTTCTTTTTTTGGGGGGTGGAGTGGGGGGTGGGGGTTTGTTCCTCACCATCAGAAAAAAAATAAAAAGAAACGCATCATTGGGCACAAAGGAATCCAACAAGGTACACTTATTGCCCATAGAGTTACACAAAGTAGAAGAAAAAAACCAAAACACAAGGAATAAACCCCAAAAAGAATAACACATATATATATATATGCGTGTGTACATACGTGCGTCTCTTCAAACACACACACACACACACACACACACACAGCATTCGCCACCAACAACAGTAACAAACAAAAACCCACAGATGTAAATAGATAAACAAAAAAGCAGAGAATCCAAGTTTGATCTTCTGCCGTTCCACTCCTCACCGCGGCACATTGCAAAGAGGAGAGCAGATGTACCTTGCATCCAAGCTCCTCTAACAGCGTGGAGAGGGCATGCTCGCTACTGGCGCACGCCTCATTTTCAACCTCGCGAGCAAGTGTCACATACAGTGCGAAAAATGAAGCACCGGGTTCTTAACGGAGCACAGCTCAATCCATCGCCTCATTATCTCCATCTTTGACACAGCCAGGATCAGCTCTGCCTTTACCCATACTGGGGTATATGCAGTCAGCAATGGTAACTAATCTGGCACACACATCATGGAAGTCCTGGGTGGACGCCAACCTACCCAGTATCTCCAAAGGACACTATGCATTCTTCAAGATAGCAACAGAAAACAAATGACACTCGTATATATTTTTCACAATGGAAATCGGTAGCGATTTGTTTCCCCCATCCCTCTAAAAGTGCATCATCGTTACTGCACTTACTTCCATCTGAAGATTTTATAAATGACGCTAGGATCAAAAGTATATCGTCGTTTTGGTAGCGCCGCACCTGCAGAACGTTTAAGTGCCGTCGTAGATCCACCCCTGGCCGGGTACTGCTGTACAACACCTTCAATATCGGATACAAAAGCTCAAATACATTTCAGCAGCGCATTCTTTAACTAAGAAAAAATCCTGCTGCTGTAAGTAAGATGCACCAAACACTTCACGAGTTGAAGGTCAAATTGTGCTGGATTTCGTGAAGAGCCACAAACATAAAGCCTTCAACTCGTCAGGTCGTACTGCCCCCCCCCCCTCCNCCCCCCCCCCTCCAACGAAGGGCCCAGGATCATCCATAACAAGCTTCGTGCGCAAATCTTCCTTATAGCAACTCTACTATCATATTCTTGGCGGAATACCCCCCACCCCAAAGAGACTAAACAAACAAAGAAACAAACCGAGGAACCATAAAAGTAACAAATGCGGAGAACAAAAAAATTGATCTGACCCCCTCCACACGTCCACGTCAACCCCCACACACCAAAACAAAAAAAACGAAATAACCCCCCAAAAAACACGTTTGTGGAAAGTGCCTTTTCTCCGAAGTCCAGCAACTTTTTGCTCTAATTTTTTAAATTTCATGCAATTATGTTTTACTTTTGGTGTTGGGGTTTTTGATGCGTGTCAAAAAGGATGCGAATAATCACACGACCGATTCTATCGAAGGGTAAAGCGAGCGAATAGATCCACACGATCGCCACAAAGTTCCTACGAGAAACTCCATTGCGTGGCACAGTTCCCGTGTCTTTGCCAAACACTCAACGTGGTGTTCCTCACCACCACTCCCTCCAATCATGGGGAATATGTCATGCGACGAGACAATAGTCACCACATACCTGTGAATGCGTTGCAAATCAATACCAAACCTTTTGTGTGACAGAGAAATCCCAGGAGTACTGAATCCAACAGCTTGAATGCCCATTTGAGCCCCAATAATAGATGCGACAGCGCCCCCTAACGAGTGTCCCGTGAGAAGGACATTCTTGGGTCGACTCGGACGGCTCCCCACGTACCCAATGTGGTTAATCACATCCACAAAAAAGTCTCGTCGGTAGTTGTTGTTTTCGCACACACTAAGGCTTGTGTTGTTCTTTGAAACCAAGGACTCCCAACTTTTTGGGATTTGTTCTGATGTAGCGGGTAGGGAGGCTAAACGCAGAAGATCCGCAATGAGTTCTGAAGGTAGTACAACTGCCCCTGGAACAATGCTCGACAAGAAGTGGTAGAGAACTGCATCAATAAACAAATTGACATCAATTAGAAGATCCTTGGCTGACGTCATGTCAGTTCCACGCACAGCAATAACAGAAACATCATTCTTGGCACTATAAAAGTCAAAAAAACCATCCCACCCCGTCGGTACTGTGGAAGAATCCACAGTGATACAATCTGTTCCGTGGCGCTCCCGAATAACCCAATCAGTTCCCATATGCATCGACATGAACCGAAGCATTTCATTCACCTCCTCTTCATTGAATAGGTAGGGCGCTAGTGCAAGAAGTGATATTTCCCAGATGGATACACCGTAAAAAGATCTCGTACACAAAGAAGGATACCAGTCTTCACTCAGGGTCGTAGCATTGCTCCACTTAAAGGCTGAAAAAGCAGGTTCTGTCGCAGTGGATGAGGTGTAGGGTGGATGTGGGGTAAAGTTCGCCTGATTGGACATTAAATGCATCCGCACAACAATATGGTCAATGGTAAAGGCACTCATATCCTCTGAGAGGTATGCCCGAACAGGCCATGGGCGGAGGGATGGGAAAGCGGCTTGCAGAAGGATACCACAGACCAATGCCGCAAACAACAGCAAACAAAAAACAGTAACCATGCGAAGCACGACACGTACCCGGCGAAACCGTTCACCACCAAAATATCCTGCACTCTGCACAGATAGCAGGCGAGGAACAGCGTAAGCGTAGAAAAGACCATTACGGAGGAAGCTTCGGGCATTTCCGTATGGAACAACTTGTGTACGCTCTATAGGAACTTCTTCACCATCGAAATACAGTTTCATTGCCTTTACATCCATCAACAGATCAATGCTTACAACGGCCACCTCAGAAAGTCTGGCCTCATATGCATCTTCCAGGACAATGGAGAGGTGTGGCGGTAGGAGTGTATTTGTGTTGAGACGCTTCCAATGCACCGATCCCGCTTTTGTAACATCAAACTCACGCACCAGATCAATTGCCCGTGCAGAAAGAAGAACATTAACTCCCACAAAAAGCATTACTGTCATCCAGTAATGACGGAAAAAATACATAGATTGCAACAACACCGTTTGGTACGGTAAGGCAACCATAAGTACAGGAAGTATGGCATCAGGGTGTCGCCTCAACCATTGTAGCGACCGTTGCAAGTTGATGATGGTGGTTGAAACAGACATAACGGCATGACCCAAAAGATGGGGCATATTCAGATACATGATGAGTTCTACCGATGCCGTGAGAACAAACAACGGGCCCTTGCTGTATAGGGAAATAACAGCCATAATAATAACCATCTCAATGGCGATGTAACGCATGTAGTGAATATATGTTTCCCACCAAATACCACAAAAATATCTACCAAATGCACCACCTTCCAACCCCATTAGTCGTTTCCAGCCGAAGGAGCGAAGTGAAAAAGGCCCGTGACTGATAACCGAACCCACCACAAATAAAAATTGCACCGCAATAGTGCACCAAACAGCTTCTACCACAACAGGTTCGCGCTCTGGCCATTCCACAAGAACGCTAGTGTATAACACTGAAAGCCCCATCGAGATCAGAAGAACGAGTACTATAAGAAACGTATAATATCTCTGCCTATCTTCCATCATAAAACGCAATCGAGCTGCCAGGAGGGGATAGTCTTTCCCTTGATGCGTCGAGTGAGCATCTACCATGGTCTCCACGAAACAGTTGAGGACCTTGTGACCTAATGTGGCCACAGAAATCCCCAAGGTAGAGTAGGGCAAAATGCGAACAAAGATATTGTAAACTCCACCAATAAAGGTTGTCATATGTGAGGAGTTGTACGGCTGCTTCTCCATATCCTGTGCAACAGGAACGATGAGAACCCACACGATACGCTCAAGAGCACTGTGTGTGATGGCCACCACGAGGGCGATAGGCGGTAGATGGTAAACAGTGAAGATGAAACGAACGAACGGATCAATGTAATCGGTGACCTCTTTGGGAAAGCAAAGATCCCAGAGCGCGGTGCGGAACGTACTGCATGCTCTGCGCAGCGATACCATTCCTGCAGACCCTGCTCTTACCCACAGCGCCTTCTTCACCAATCGCTGCTTTGCGTGTTTGTGTATGTTTAGCTATGTGTGTGTGTGTGTGCAGGCTATCGCTTTAGTGCAAACCCTGATCCAACACAAACCAATAGGACAGCAATACAAAAAAGTGGAGTTCGCAGACACACACATACTTACAGCACCATTCCATTAAAAGAAGATGATGTCTTCACAATGACAGCATACTGCGCCATGTATATGATCCAAAAACAATATTTTCGCGTTGAAATGTTTTTTTGTTTTGTTTTGCTTCCCCCACCCCACAAGCGCTCCTCTCCATTCTTCTCGCCCTTCCCTTCGCCGTGCACACCTCACAAATAAGGAGATTTGTCACCTTTGTGTTTGCTTACGGAAGCGTGCAGGTGTGGCATTACCATGCAGACACACATACAAGCATATATGTACAAAGGGAAGTCTGAACGCCAGAGGGAAAGAGAGAGAGAGAGAACACGAGTGCGTGTGTGTGACAGCAACCAGAAAATCGAAGAAAAAAAAAGTTACACCTACACTTCTCCACGACCAACTCTTTCCACCAAAATCCCTCCAGATCATCCTCAGAGTACCGCTTGCGAAGAAGAATGCATCAGGCATGACGCCCGGAGGCCCCCCATCAACGAATTCATTCAACACACATTGATGAAGCACGTCCCTCACACGATCCTTCTTCACATCTTGGATGGCATCTTCGTTGCGACGATACGCTCGCGGTAGGCTTTTAAAATGGCACCTCGTGCCTTTTTCTCTTCTTCTTCTGATACCTCAAGGCGGGGCGAGCGGAGTTTCCGCACGTGCCTTAAAATGTCCTGCATTTGTGTCAAAAATGTGGAATGGGTAGCCGTTGCTGGAAGGACGTAAGCGGGACCCTTCTCAACGGAACCGAGTTTGAGATCAAAGATACTCACAAGCCCATCAAAGGCATTCTTAAGCGAATCATTGCCGCAAGATTGCGGATACACAATGAATCGCTTGGTGTCGTACAACTGCAAACCACATTCTCGACAAGCCTCTAGTAGTGAGGCCTTGATAAATACGTCCTCGTTACCATCTTCAGAAACAGCACACAGTGCGAGAAGAACAAGGTACAAAGACTCGGCGAAGGGTGACAGTACACTAGTCAAGAAGCGGAACAGGTGTGTTACCCTTATGTCCAAAATATGCTTCGACTCTATTGGAGCCTTTCCTTTATTGTTATTCTGGTCGCTGGATTTTGTGACATCGCAGCTCGAGGAAACATCGCTTTCAGTATCGTTATCATTGTAAGCGAAGAGTCGTGAGAGAAACGTCTCGAACCAAGACGTGAACGTGTACGGACACGTGGGGAGGTAATCCTGAAATTCAGCTGAAAGCAATTTGCGCAGCTGCTGACATCGTTCCATCAGTTCGTTTCTCTGCACGTGTAGTATTTCCTTCTTCATATCCACCTCCCCGCACGCTTGTGCCACGATTGCAATAACTGCCTCATCTACAAAAACATGGACTAGTTGGTTGCTATACGTAGCAATAGCCATGAAGGAGGAAATATCCTGTCGAATACACACCTTTGAACCTTCATCCAAAACCTCCACAAAAGATTCAAGGTGAGTGAGCGCTCTGCGGGTCATCCCTGCAGCATCATTGTCCATACAATCGGGACTGAGCGCCCCCTTTCGTTTGCTGATGTGTGCGCATAGCCACGCCATGTGTGTGTGCACCTCATTCAAAGTCAAGCATGGTGTCGTGGGCGCAAAGACGTTCAATATGGTAGAAAGCAACGCGGTTGGCGTGATGACAGTGTTATCTTGAATGGCATGCGTGAGGTGCCACGCCAGGTTGGTCAGCACATATGGAGGCGTTAGGGTGTTCTTGTTGGGTACTGCGTCGCCGACCTTTCCCCCTACTGGTTCGAACGGCGCAGGACACTGATGCGGCTGGTCGCGGAACTGCCGAAGTGAAATCACTTCACCAACATGAACGTGAATCTTGCCATGCCGTTTGTTAAGAAGAGATCGTGCACGGAGCAAGTTACCAACATTTTCCTTGGGCTTTGAAATGCCCAATTCCTCGTCCGCGTACAGTTTTATTTCCAGCAGCTCATCATACGACAAGCTGATAGGAAGGATGAGCACATCATCCACGGTGTCCTGCTTTTCGAAGAATGCATCTGTGACGAATTTGAGGATGCCGAGCTTGGGGCACAGCGTCTTACCTGTCCGACTCCGAGTACCCTCAATAAAGAACTCCATCGCGTGCCGCCGGAGGACGAGCTGTCGCACATACTCTCTAAAAAGAGTATAGTAAAGACGATCATTGCGGAACGAGCGGCGCATGAAGAAGGCACCACTTCCACGCATGAGTCTTGAAAAGGGACCCATCCGGAGAAAGTCTTCACCCGCACAAACATGTGGTGGCGAGAATCCCATCGCCACGAGCAGATACGTCATGATGAGAAAGTCCACATAGGATCGATGCGCGGGGAGAAGCACGACTTGTGCGCGTGATGCGGTGAAGGCACTATACAGACGATCAAAGGCAGAATCATTCAGACTTATTTCGTCATATAACTGGAATAAAACTTTCCGTACCAATAATCCAAACACACGCAGTTGTGCATGGTTGAGGTTATCGCCAACAGTACGAAGGATTGCGGCTGCTCGTCTTTGCACATCGACGCTCAGTGACCTTTCCCTCTGTGCTGCGTCTTCAATAGCTGTCAAAACTTGTGGACGAGCCATAATACCTTCTTTTGACTCTTTTGTGAGCCCTGAAAGAGCACTGCCGCGAACACCATCAGATTTCATTCCACACCGCAAGGCCCAATGTATGTCCTCAAAGTACCTACGCGGGCAGAACGCAGATGGTGGCGCGCGTCGTGAACCATGAAATACAACGTCATTGTGGTAGTATGGGAGGGGCGGGGGTAGGCTACAAGGTTGCCCTGATACACGGTACGCGAGGTGCTCCACCACTGCCTGTGCGATGACCTTGACGTAGAGATCCCACCTCACACTCTTCAGTGAAATAAATGGGTAAAGTGGCTGCAGAGTGGGGTCCCGCTCTACTCGGTCCAGTAACATGGTGTAATGGCCAGATTCCAACGTTGTGAGAGCAGGAATTGGTTTGCATGTGCCATTTGAGCCAATAGGTGTGGAAATAATGCGCAAGGCCCCATTAATGCCCTCAAGGGTTGCACGAATTTGCTTAGCCTCCGTGGATCCAGGTAAGTAGTTTGTCAATTGCTTTCGCCGTTGCGCTGCTGCGTGTGTGTAGTGACACTGGAACGGCATCATCAAAGATATCCCGTAGTTGATCCAGTCCGAGATGTGAACAGAGACCTGAAGTGTCGGCCGGGGATCAATTAACTGTGGCACAGGAAACGACTTCGCTACTGCCGGACCGAGGCGTCCATAGTAGTCCACCAGGTACTCCGCGAGCATTCCCCACACCAATACATCACCACCGGCAATCTCCACATGATCGCTGACGGCATCTCCAGAGAACGACGGAAGTTGCCCATTGCGCTGAAGTGAAGCAATAACCAATGCGGTATTGGCTGCTACATCCAACGGAACAACACGCACTGGGTCTCGAAAGCCAACCTGTAGATGCTTAACTGTTCCCATGGCGACACCGAGGCTAACACCCTCCAACAGCCCTTGCGTTCCACCACACTGGCGCACCAGAGACCGTGTCAAGTGGAGATCGCGCCATGGCGGTGAGAAGTTTGCTACCGAGCAACAAAGCACCCTCCATCCACTCAATTGCCGTGCCACGTCCTGCACAGATTGCCGTGTGGCGTCATCAGAGAGTAGCACAAGTCGCCCACCACCCCCTTTAAGTGAAGCGAGGGACTGCAATGACATGTGGTCAGTGCAATCCATGCGACCCCGGGCAGAGATGTACACGTACAAATCATTTTGAAAATCTGGCACAAAACAAGGCGCCGCATCATGGCGCGCCGCGTCCACGGCAAATCCCACACGCTTCATGAGGTCCGCACCATCACTCTCCATGTCACGGCACAAGGACTCAAATGCGGTGAGGGAGGCATTTGGATCAAGACGGCGAGCACGGCACTCCTCGACAGAGAGAATTGCCAGCGGCGTGTTGAACCGGTCGGCGAAAACAATTCTCGTGCAACAGCCCCGCTTGTTGCGACCAAATATGGGTAGCTGAGCCCACGTAATGGCACACGCCGCGCCTAACCAACACGCAGCGTCATTTGCGACAATAACGATTCTCTTAAAAGCACTCTTGGCGGAGGCTCCAGAAACACCGTCTTGACTCATGGGGAGATACACACACACAAAAAAAAAAGGACTACCTTCTGCAGATGTACCAAGGAAGTGAAATACTTTTTTATGTTGATGGTGTGTTCCTACACAAGCCCAACAATCACAAAACCAAAGCAAAACAGAACAAAGACGGAGAGAATCATGCTTCCTGCAGAATCCCACTGCCTTTCCTCAATGTAGCAGTTCAATTATATTACTTAACCCCCCCTCCCTCACCCCCCCCAAAAGTCACGGCACACAGACAGTCAAGAAGAGACGGATCGGCATCACATCATGCACCACATTCCTTTTTTTTTNCTTCAAAGGGCGTCTGCGCAGAAGAGAATCATTTAATCACCAAACAACTGCGAGTTGCACATGTAGCAATAAACAATACACAGCATGAACACGCACCGAAAACAATACAAAAGAAAACGAGAAATAGAAGCAAACAGAATTGAATAAACTCTTACAAGATATCCACCCATTAAGCAGCTGCAGAATACCCTCGTCCAATAGGGCGACATTTGAGAAGCAGAGCCTCAGCGCACCACAGAAGACTAATTCTATTCGTCACATTACAGCAGAACAAATATTCGAATTGCCGCCACCTATTCTCATTCTTCTGTTATTCTTCCGACACTCATCAGCTCCATGCTATTGTTGCAGCTTCTAAGACCGATGACGACAACAGAATCGTCTAGTTCATGAGACACGGACCACACGGCAAACAGCCATCAATTCATGAAGACTGCGGACCCAAATGCTCAAAATTCTCAGAGAGAAGTTCTAGCCCACCCCCTTCCCCTTCCACTCCAGCCTCACGTTCGCCAAGAAGAGGGACACAACCATATCATGAGTATTCGGCTTTATCAGCTACAGAGCCCAAGTGTGCTAAAGCCAAGAAAAAAAACACATAGTAATGCTGCAAAAAGTCCACTGTGCCCACTGGAAGCGGCTAAGCATGCATAAGCAGCAGATGACAAGTGATTGGTATATATCCAATCCTATTCCATAGCAGAGGTGTACCAGGAATCAGGAAGGTGAACTGTTGCGATGCATCCTCTATATAACCTCTCCTTGTAGCTGCAGATGCTACTCAGCTTCACAGAGTCACAGGATGCCTGTCGTGGAGTGCCTACACATGGTCGCTGCCAGAACAATCACTCCTCGTCATCACCATGGCCCAAAATATGTGAACAAACAAAGAAGCACATGAAACACACTGAAAGATCCCCAGACGTTGGTGTAAGAAGTTGTCACATGATGACTGACCACATTTTCGTCATTTACTTTTTGTGCCTCAGCTGCCACACGCAAGAAACATTCCAAATACCGATATTGAATCCATGATTTTCACAGAAATGTGAAAGGTGGAGTAGAAACACATGTTGGCGTTAGGCTCAGTAATTCAAATAATGTCATGCCCATTTCTCACCTCCACCAATAAAAAAAACACGCGCCTGTGTATTTTTGACGGCAGCCACTACGAGGTGCAAAGAGAAGCATTTACTTCTTAACTAAATTGGAGAACGGCTTCGTCGGGAAGTTTGAAACAACACAATACTTCTCTCGAACCTCCACCGATGTTAGTAATAATGCCCCAATATCCACAAAGCCACAGGCCATACGTCCATGTGTCATGCGAAGAAAGTTTATTGTACGGCACCAATTTGATTGAATCATACAAACCCAGTTTGTACTGGCAACTCCAGCATACATGTCCACCCATGATGCAGCAGGGGAACTCGCACCCCACCGAACCGATTCTGCCCCAGCGGCCAGAGTGGTAAGGTTCCACGTGCTCATCACATGATGGGACTCTGACTCCAACTGCTTCTTGAGCCACATGTAGCTTTGCAGCGGCGTCCCACCACTAATAAAGACTCTGCAGTTTGTCTGAGCTGAGGCTGAGTATGTGGAGGTGCTGATAGCACGCACATAATCTCTATAGAGAGAAAGCCCTACTGTATGACAACCAAAAACATTATAATACTCTCGCATCTTGCCTATTTCACCGCGGTCCTGGACGTAGATGGTGCAGCTTGTACTGGTGTGTGTGGTGTCTTTGCGGGTCCCAGGAGGGGTAATCAGTGTAAGGGGCTCAAGGTGATGCTGCAACATTGCCTGAAACCACGGCTGTGGAGCTCGGGTGATGTACATAAATGCCTGTGCCAGCATATAGTTAAGCCTCGCGTCAGCGCCATTCCCAAAGGACCCCTGTACCACCATATTCACTGGGTCCTTCACCCAGTTAAGGTACTCCGGATAGCAGGCCCACTGCTGGTGACCGGGCCCAAAGAAAGCCTCGTCTGACGGGACTCTTTCTCTACCCAAGCCACGCGTGTCAACAGAGTCTTTGCGTATCACCCGAGCACGGGTGAGTGCTGCCCGACTTCCTTTATGCACCACGTGCACCCGCTCCTCTGGAAGCGTGCACCGTGTAGGTTGAAGATAGAAACAGTCTAGAGCCTTTCGCCCACTCTTCCAGCACCCTTCAGGCGCAAATGACCACTTCTCCCCTGACGTTGGCGCACCAATCGACAAGGTTCTTCCAAGAATAATGGCGCTCAGAAAATCAAAAGCAACCACAATGAGGGCACCACCGAGACCGAAACTCTTATGCTTAGTATCAGACAGGAGAAACATACGCTCCTCGCACTCTTTGTGGTTTTGATATTCGTAGAGTCGCTTCTGCACCTCTGCGGTGCAAGGCAGATGATGAGGATTTTTAGATACCCACCACGGAAAGGCTGAATTTATGTCCATGCCCGGAGAAGCATCGTAGCCCGAGTAGAAGGTAAAGTTACCGGTATGAGAATCTGCAGATGACTGCCGTGAAAACTGATACTCTTCTTGCAGCTTTGCATCAACTGCCTCATCGCGCATGGGCTGTAAAAACTTGATCATATCATTCGACGGAGATGGGAACAGTGGGGAAAGGTGGGCGTTTTCCCAGCATTGTTCTTGATGATGTATCTGCTTCTCGTGGATAGCCGCAGCAACGGAGGACCTCTTCACGGGGAGTTGTAGGTGCATGGGGTAGATATGCGGAGTAACAATGGAGCCTGCAATACGAGCCGTGTTTCCATCGATGAAAAAAGGAGTGGAGGACCCCGAAGGGAGAGGAGAAGGTGTGGAAGGAACATCAGGGCGATGATTCGTTCCAGTTGGCACAGCTAGTTCATTTCCTGGTGACTCATTACCAGCCCGCTCTTCCCAATAGTACAATATTGGCAGAAGAAGAATCCATGCTATTGCTCCCAGTATGACCAGAAGGAGTACCATGAGAATCCGAGAGCGCCTACGCTCCCTAAGTGGCTTGCTGTGGAGACGCGGCGGGCTGAACATCATTACCTTATCTTGACCAAGGGCCAACGCAGAAGCTGCATGGAAAAGAGAGAGAGAGAGAGAGAGAGAGAGAGAGAACGAGAGTATTGAGAAAGAGAGGGTGACGGCGGGGGTGGATGGCAGACCCAATGATCTTACCCGAATACTCAGTTACGCCACTTATTCCGCAATGATGTGCAGAACAGACTCAACAAAGCATTACACACGAACGCACTGCGGACGGACACAATTACGCGGCTGCTCATCAAGATAGGGCGTCTTCTCTGCCCACCCCTTCCCTTGCAGCAGAGCCCGGGATCTCCCATGACCAATCTAACGCTCAGAGAAAGTTAGTGTCAACCCAAACACCTCAAAGAGTGACCGCTGCAGAGAATGAAGAGCCGTTTTTGCTGCTTTTACTGACTCAAATGCGATCAGGAAGGAGCCTGCTTCATAGCGGACATCAACGGCATCAAAAACATCCTTAAATAGCCTTTCCACAAAAGGTGTGGAAATCAAAATGCCTTTCCCCAACTCGAGCGTTGATGTGACCTTTCGGGTGTCATGAGGTGCAAACCGCACGAGCAGCCTGCTTTTAGCGTTAACGGACTCCAGGCTGTTGCACTTACCGAAAAGAGCGTCCAGGGTGAGTGAAGATGCCCAAGCGGCGAAAATCTCCGCAGATCGTGTCGATGTGAATTGAAGCATCACAATGCAGCGCTCCCGGTTTATGTGTTCAACAGCCCCCAACAAACGGGCATGTAAGGCCAGGATGTCTTTAAACGACTCCATTTGAGATTCTAATGGCAGCGATGCAGCAACAAGAACACGTCGCCTGCCGCTCTCATTGGCATGAGAGCTCAGGTACTCCTGAACATCATCGATGTGAGCGGCAAGGCAATCCGAGAAAGCACACCAGTAAGTGTTCCATAGCTCAACGTCCACCACGTGGTGTGAAGGGATGTTGTGTTCCACATCGCGTGACTCATGATGGGCTGCAGGGAATCCTGGCAGCACTGCGGCTCCGTGATGAAATGCGACGATGAGGCGCTGCTCTAAAAACACCTCCCACGCCACTGACGTTTGACCCGACTTCCCTTCATCAGCCGACTCCACGGGCTGTTCCGAAACATCAACCTCCCTCGCTGCTGATGCTGCAGCACATGTGGTAGAAAAAGCGGGTGAGGCTTCAACCACGGTTGGCTCTCTCCTTCCATATTTCTCGCGGACACTTTCGGCTGGCGGTGCGGCGCTACCCGAAGCCGTCGTCGTCGTCGTCGCCGCTGTTGGTGGCGGCATTAAGCTGCTGAGCGCCCCCCACATCGCCGTCGGATTTTAGGTGGGCGTCTGGTGCTCTCACAGGCGTCTTACGGGCTACTGCAGCTGTGCGGCGGGGAATGAAGGAAAGCATGGAAGCAGAGAGGGAGAGAGAGGGAGAGAGAGAGAGAGCACGAAATAAACCACCAGCGCAACTTAAACCACCGATTTTTTTTTAAAAAAGGGGAGTTCACAGGGATGAGGAAAGCAAACAAAAAACAGACACCAAATACAGTCGATGCTGTGAAATTACACTTTTTTCTTTTTTAAACGACGTGTCATTTCTTTTGTGTGGCCGTTCCTCCTGCGCACCCACACCCTCCAAACGGACCGCAGACAAGACACAATGTGATGCGCCAGCAACAAGGAGCCAGCCGGATATTTTTATCCGCATCAAAAAGACACAACGCACCACTTCTTTAGTGAGTACCAGCTGCGTTCCTCTCCCTCTCCCCCCCCTCCTCCTCTTCCCACTCCTCCGCGTAGTCATAGTTGTATTCGTCTTCATCATCCCAATCACGGTGCTTGTCGCCCCCATTGGCCTTGGCTGCCGCGTGTTTGCGCTGCTTGCGGTTCACGAGCACCTCATCGTCGCTGTCTTCGGGGACCTCACTCTTCGCCTCCTTCTTTGCAGTGGTAGGTTGCTGCTGTCCACCACCGCCAGCATGGCGCCGCTTTGGCTTCTTCTTACCACGTTTCCCCTTTCCGTCAGCGTCATCGCCATCTGACGCACACGTCTCATCGAGGCCCAGCTTGCTGAGGGCTGCCTTTAACTCGCCACCGTTCTCCTCCTCTTCCTCCTCCACCGCGTGGGTGGAGGACAAGTCGGCGGTGACGGAGGTGCGCTGCTCGTCGCAGTCATCTTTGCGAGATGCGCCTTGTGGACACGCTCTCTTCTTGCCTCCCCTTTTTCCTTTATTCCCGCTCCGCTCGCTGTCGTCGCGGCGTGGGTCGCTGCTGCCAGTGCATTGGCTCGGGCCACCGTTGTTCGCGGCGCCGACCCCGCCACTGACGAGGGCGTTGGCACGCGCAATCAACTCCGCGTCCATAACATCGCCGCCACCCACGTCTACGGCGGCACTGTCGACCATGTGCACCGTCCCACCAGGTGGAAGATCCTTCTTCACAAAATTTTCAACATCGCGGAACAAATGGGGTGGTAGGAGAATCAAGAGCGAGTGCTTCTGCGTAGACGCCTCTGTCTCGCCAGCGTCGACAGCCCTGTTCAAAATGGAAGCTCCGTTGGACTCACACCACTCAACAAGCTTCACCAGCGAGGGCTCATCGGGGGCGATGCAGCGCAACTTCATCCGGGCACGTGAAATGGGAATAATTTGCGCGTCTATGAGTTGATGAATGAGTGCAAGTGCCTGCTTCTTCACAGGCTGATCCAGTTTAACCGCAGCACCAATCGATCGCAGCGCTTGCTCAATGACTGGAGGTGGGAAAGGACGCTGCGTGACCTCATTTACACATTTCTGTGATATCATGAGTGCGATATCAATAAACATCTGATCAATCTCTGCTGTTCGCTCATGCTGCGCAACCTGCAACTCGCCGTGATCAAGAATGAAACGCAGAGCCTCGACCTCACTCGTCCTCTTATCAAACACTGTCTGAATTTCCTTCTCCGAGGCATACAAACCACGTGAGACATTCGTGAAGACGCGTTCCACCTGCAGAACTTCGTCCAGTCGTGTCTCGACCCCACTACGGTATGATATGACTTTGTTCTTGTAGCAGGCTATCTCCAGTTTGACCCCATTCTTTGTGTAGCGCACAACGGCGATGTTGGTGTGCCGCCGCTGCGACAATGGCATCTGCATGCGGGCGCTCATGGATGCTGCCGTTGCCTATTGCAGGGGAGATGTGAAGCTTCCAGAAAAAAAAAGTACACCGGATCTCCCTCTACTTTCGCGATGTTTAGCAACAAGTCGTACACGGGCTTTGCGCATGTGTATACACACACACACACACATATATATATATATATATATATATGAGAAAGGAAAACGAAAGAAAGAGAACCAGAAGAGGGAAGTAATGCAACGGGAGTACATTCACAAAAACAGCAACAACAACAACAACAAGTCAGCCTCTTGTCAAACCTGGGTCCTTCCCCCACTAAATTTGGTGCGCATTTGTATTTTTGTCGAGCTGCACAGAGTGTTGCACAAGATACAATTTCTTTTTGGATTTTGTTTCAGTGTTCAAATTTTTTTTTTGTGTTTTGATTCCGCCGTTTCCTTTGCACCTGAAGATGCCCAGGAGGAGGAAAACTCGCCCACTCTACACACTAAGAGAGGAACGTCCTCGTTGCTTCTAGTATTGGTGACAGTAGAATTGCTCGAAGAGTACAATAGCGTATATGTGTGGCCGAGCGTGCATGTGTCCTTCATCTTCATATATTTCATCACCACTCAGACAGCGTTACAGACGACCGAGTTTGGCACGATATGCATTTAGTTTCTCGTCCTTGACGCGGACTAGCTCCTCCAGTTTCGTCACCTTTTCGCTCAGCAAGCTAACCGTCTCGCGAAGCTCAAATATAGTGCGATCTTTTTCCTCCAGCAGGAGACGGAAGCTAGCGGCGTTACCGTTGTTGTGGCTGCCATTGGTGGAGGTGTGGTGGCCCGCCTCCTGCAAGCTCTTTGAGTTGGACGGGGACCGATACGCCGCTGGAGCGTTCCCCACCGTGCCGCTCGGCTGACACCGCGGGCTGGTGGACTGCGCCTTCGCCGCGTTCGTCCAGCTGCCGTAGTTGTTTGCACCGGCGCCCTCGCCGCTCCGCGCTGCCGAAGACTGTGGCCGCAGCGCGGAGGTTGTGGGGCGCACATCCAGCGCCTCCATCTCCTCGCGGCGTGCTTTGATCTGCGCGATCTTTGTCCTCAGTGCGCGGAGAAAACGCTCAATGGCGCCCGGCACACCAGCGGTGATGTCGTTGATCTCCTCCACCGGCACCTCGAAGTGGAGCTTGCGGAAGACGCGGTTGTTGAGGGTTTCCCAGTTGTCCTTCTTCTGCCTCATCGACATGGCGGGGGTGTAGTTGTGCAGATCGACAAGCTTCGGGAAGAAGAACTTCACCACCTCCGCCACGCAGCAGCCGTCGCTAAAGTCACGCGTGATGTTCCGCTTCGGGCGGGAGATGGGGATGTCATCGACCCACACGTAGAGCTCGTGCAGGTCCTCCTCTGTCAGCGGGACCGTCATTGTAACGGGGCAGTGCGGGCCCGCAGCGGGTTCCTCCTTGATCCTCGCCTATCAACCTGTGCACGGCGTGCAGCCCATTACAGAAAAGAAGAAAGACCAAAAAAAGAGTACAGACAAGACAACAAAAAGATTTGCGCGCACTTCTCGATGCACCCATGTGTGTTCGTGTGTGGGAGTGTGCGTGCAGCAGACATTCGGATAGCCCATGCCGCCTCACACTTTATACGCATGCGAAAGTCAACGCATCCACGTCGGATCCCTTGCGTCAGCGACTATACAAATACTCCCACTTCCCCACATGGGAGCCCAGAAGGTGATTGATCAAAGAGCGCGCGCGAGAGAGAGAGAGACATAGAGTCACAGTCATCTCTCACTTCTCACAAGGGGAAGGCTCACAACACACTAGTCAAGCTGCTCCCCTTCAGTGCAGAGACAATGCGGGCGATATCGCGTGCAAAGGCCTTCATCGCGGCACGATTATTTACACAGCGCTCTGCCCCCGTGTTGAAATGACTCTCCAACGCTATGCACCTACTGCCGCCACCTCCGTCGTCGTCGTCAGAATCACGGCAAGACGGGGCTGGTGGCGAAAAGGGGCGCGCCGGCGCGAACAACGCCTGCGGCCGCACAGGTGCCGCCGCGTCGCTTCCGTCCGGAGACGCAGTGCGCTGTGGCGTGTGAATGAGCCCCTCCGCCGTCACGGATGGTGGCGAAGGTGACGGCGGCGACGGCAAAGGCGGAGGCAATGGCCTTCGCCGCGAAAAGGCAGAGCCCCTACCGTTGTTGTTACTGCCTCTGCTGCTGTGACTGTGCCGTCTCGAAGAGTTATCGCAACTCACTGCCTTGACGTCAGGTGACGAAATGAACCTGGCCTCATCTGCGAGCTGCAGCAGCGCACGTCGAAGCTTATCATATCGTCGTGCGCGACGCTCCGCTTCTCCATCTGACTCTACCTCCGTGACACACGGTTGGTTGGGCTGTGTATTGATTTGGCTTTTCTTTGAGTTTTCTACGTTGTCACTTCCACTGGTGTTCTCCTTTACATACCTTGGAGGAGTGCAAATGGATTTCTTTGCGCCCTCCTCATGGTGCTTCTTCGCCAACGTGGCCTTCTGCCTTCTAATGGGCGCAACGGGGCTCCCCGGCGGCGTTGAGAGGCCGTCACATGTGGCGATTTCCTCAAACTCATCTGGATCCACTTGGATCTCTTCGTTTCCAGGCGACCGCGACAACGGTTTCGTTTCCTGTGTAGGAAAGTCAATGGCGTTCCCATTGCTTCTGGTGCTGCGGCTGTTGTTGTTGTTGTTGTTGTTGATGGTGGTGATGTTAGCGGCAGACAGCGCTTCGACCAACCCACGCTTTTTCTTCTTCGTCACCTGCCTTGGCTGGACGACTTCCGTCCGCCTAATCGGCATCAACGGGGATGTGCTAAACGCTGTTTCGTCCGGACAAATGGCGTGGCGCGCTTCTATAACCGTTGGTGACTGCCCAAAGAAAACACCAGGGAACAAGTGTCGCGCCTCCTCATGCTGCTTCTGGTGCAGCAGACGTGCCTCTTCTCTGGTAGCGTGTTGTTTGCCGCGACGACTGCCGAGTCGGCGGTTGGCGCCACTGCTGCGAAGTGTCTCCTGCCACTCATCCGAAAGCTTATTGATGTACTCGACCACGACAGGCTTCGCGTGGTGTGGCAGCGTGGCATTCGCCGTACGCTCAGGATCATCCAGGAATGGGGATGATGATAACGGTGCTGCGGCATCCTCGGCCGTAGAGTTGTGGGGAAAACGCAAATGGTGCTCGTGGTTTTCTTTCAGAAGCAACGCCGCAGGAGCGACGGGGGATGGGTCAGACTTCCTGGCGTACTCCGTCAGCGCCAGCGGTTCACCGCCGCCGGGAACGTTCGGGTGCATGCCGTGCAGGACGTGCTGCTGATCAGATGGCGCTGGAGAACTTGTCTGTCTGCGCCGAAAAACAGGCTGAGGCGACGCGGGCGCCAAACCGCCGTCCCACACGTCACGGCGGCCTCGCCGTCTGCCGCGGGCCGGCGACTCCGCCACCAACTCACCACCCGCGTCTTCCGCGATGCCCAACAGCTCACCACCACCACCACCACTACTGTCAACAGCAACAGAACCAGAGAAAATAGACTGCGACGACTCGTTTGCCACTACGATACGTGGGAACAGATGTACAGGGAAGTCAATGACCCGCCGATCATATGAGGGCTCAACTAAAGGGGGAATGTCTCCTGCACCAACCGATACAGCCGCCACTCCAACATTCAGTGGGAGGTCGTCGAAGTCCACATCATTCGGGTCGACACCACCCTCGAACAGCAGTGTATCGACGCCCTTCTGCTGGAGTGATGAAGTGGAGGAGGACAGGACCTCTATGCGGGTCGGACGAACAACGGGAGTGGCGTTGCTATCTATTCGAGCAGAGTGTGAAAAGGTCCGTGGGGCGGCGTTTTGTTCCCCCGGTGATGATGATGATGTTCGCCCAAAAAACGCCGGTGGGCTGCTTCTTTCCAACAATTGTATGTGCTGACGGTGAGCCTCAACGGGAATGGGAGAAATGCCCGGCGAAAGACCGGAGAGGTATGCATCCTTATCAGGAAATAGTCTCTTTCGTTCTCCCGGGGACGCTCGCTGCTGCTCAATAGGCGTGCCATGAGACACAGTGAGCTCCATGCTGTTCGAAGACCGCTGCCGCTGCGATCCCGTGCTAGAGTGCGACGGCGTGGCATCGCTCACACTCACATCCAGCAGCGGTGAAGAGTCATATTCAGTTCGAGGTGTTGCTGTTGCCTCTGCTCTAGACTGCAGCACTTTTGCCTTCTTCTCTGGGGTAGTAACACTTTCAGCTCTCTCCTTCTTTCTCTCTTCCTTCTCAGCGCTGATGGGGAGCAGTTGTGCGCCTCGGCGCGGCACAATGACGGGAGAGTTATCGGGCGATTCGCTCTCCTCGCGCCCCCGTTGACGCAGCGTGTTCACCGGATCCGCGACGCCACGTTCTGGGAGGTGCCGACGTCGCTCCTTCTCTCCAGCACCAGGTCTGGCCTCTACCCGTGCCACAGTGGGCATCTTTTCTGCTTCTGTTGGAGTCACTCCACCTGCTGCTACTTCCGCTGGAGGCGCTGCTGCTGCTGCTTCTGGCTTGTCGTGTGTTTCGGCGACATGCCTCGGCGCCCCATACCGCAGCGTTGGCTCCGAAAAGCATTCGTCATCCTCGAAGGAGACGTGCCTCTTGCGAGGCGACGGCGATGTGCTGGAGGAACGGCTGCCACTCATGTTCTTCAAAATGGACTTGGGCTTGTCACAGCTGTTGCTACGGGGCACCACCGGCGGTTTACCGCGAGGCACGTAGGAGGGGGATGCAGGCGTGGCAGAACCCACCTTCTCTTCTTCATCCTCCTCTAGCGCATCGCACATGACTGCCAAACATTGCGATTGGGATGCTGCCAGAGTGACATCTGTTGTATGGCTTCCTCGCCCTCCTCCAACTGTTGTTGTTGTGGATGGTACAGCCTTGTTGTTTTCGTGATGCATGACACATCCAACTCCTCTATTCTACGTTACCCAACGCGTCACAAACCCTCTTCTATGATGGCGTTGCGCTATATCGCTGGTATAGTGCTGCTGACGGGGAGAGAGATGGCGTGCCCAACCGCGTTGGAGCTAATTACCTTCCCCAGACTCCATGTGTGCGGGTCAAAAGCAAAAAAAAAAAATGTATATGGGGAGAGAGAAATACCATATATATATAAACGGGAATGACACGCGCAATTGTGCTTCATCTCACAGAAGCACCAGCAGCAGGGTGGAAAAAAAGTATCAGAAAGGCGCTTTCCTTAAACGAAGCGGATGCGCGCGTGCGCGTGTGACGAGGAGAGAAGTAGTCTACGCGAGACCCTCGCCACTGTTGACATGGAAGAACTTCCCCTCTTCACGATACAAACCAAACTGCTGGAATGCTGAGATAACCGAGAAGGACGAGTGCATCTGCGCCACAAAGACGCGTTCCGCTGGGCTCAGGTAGTTACCACCCATCTTGAGCAGATGCATCGACGTCGCCTTCGATGCGAGATCGGTTACACAGCTGAGGCGGATGAAGTCTGAAATTACCTCCACCGGGCAGCACGGCAAACCCTGCAGACGAACTGGGCAATTACCGTCCGCCGCTACAGATTCCGTCCTGTAGGCAACAGCACGCGGCCCCGTGCACGCCTCCAGTGCGATATCGAGCGGCCGCCCCCGCGGTGAAAAGTGCAAAGGCTCGCCATCGTGCTGCAGATAAAAACAAGCAGGATTCGCGAGGAGGCCCAGTCCACTCATGACCCCTCCCACACCAGTGGACAACGCCGTTTCGAGCGCTGTCTGGGGATTGTGCACCCCACCATTCGCCACAATGGGGACCGAGACAGACTCTCGGATGATGCGAATGGCATCGAGACGAACGGGCGCATGTGAGGTGCAAAGCGGGGTGCGCCCGTGCACCGTGAGCCATCCCGCCCCTGCAGCTTCGCACTGCCGGGCAAAATCCACGCTTCGTTCCAAGTCATCACTCACGCGCATTTTTACAACACAGGGGATGTTTACTCCGCTTGACAACCCGTTTCGGATGCAACGCACCATGTCCGCCACCAACTCCGGCTTCTTGAGAAGTGCTGATCCCAACCCTTCCTTCATAGCCCAGCGCTGGGGGCATCCGCAGTTGATGTCGATTGCGTCACAGTACGGCGCCAGCAACACCGCAGCTTCCGCAGCAACAGGACCACTACAGGAGGCAATTTGTGACACCAGACGATTCTCGCCGGAGTACATGGAGAAATCTGCGTGCCGTGCCGCATCGGAGCGAGTGAAACTATCTGCCATGATCATGTGTGTGTAGCTGATGTCTGTACCCCACAACCGGCATAGCTTGCGGAATGCTGGACGACTACAACGCACCATCGGTGCCTGCACCTTCATGATATCGTGGTAGGCCCTCTCCAGTATTTGGAGACAGGACTCCTTTTCAGAGGGAGTGACGGTGTTGAATGCGCCAGCGGCGATGATATCCCGATTTTCCTCCGCGAATCGGATGGTTTTCAACTGCGCACCTCGCAGTAACGCCTCCAAGTCCGTGTGGGCGTACGTGGGACCCCCTTCCTGCGCCGCCAACTGCAGAGCTTTCTCCTGTGAGTAGAGCTCCTCCATCCTCTACAGGGTTGTGGCCGTCACTTGTTCGAGAAATGCCCCATGATTGAAAGAATGAAGGAGGAGGGAAATAGCAAGCAACAATTCATTTCATCAAACCAAAAGCTAAAAAACAACAACAAAAAAAACGGAGCATAACCGAAAAAAAATAACATCATCCCCATTCTTTGATGCACAACGGACTGCGCACTTTCAAACACACACACACACACAAGCATCTAAAAAAAACTCTTACATGACCACCGTCACCTGTAGCATCATGAACAGCGCTGCGACGTCATGCACAGATGTGTGCAAAAGCACGAGGTGCCGCAATGTCGGAATGTTCGCCAAGACATTCACATCACTAACAGCCTCACATCGCGTGAGGTCAATTTCCTCCAGGCTGCGGCTCGCCCCCAGTCCAATAATGCCCTCGTTCGTCACAGAGGTGCCGAAAAGGTCCAACCTTCGCAGTGTCGGTATGCTTCCTAAAGGACCAACGTCATCCACGGCATCGCAACCCCAAAGATCGATTTCCACGAGACTCCTGCTTTGACGAAGCTCTGAAATGCCACTGCTGTCGACAAGTGTTGTGACCAGAAGTAACGTCTGCAACGTCGGAAGCCTGCCGAAGATTCCCACACTCTTGACAACATTACACACTTCCAAGTTGACCTCACGGAGGCTTGAGCTGTTCGACAGGCCAGCAATGCCGCTATCCGAGGCCCGCGTCTCGGCAAGCACCAACCGTTCCAGCGTGGGAATGCTGCCGAGTGTGTTGACGTCTGTGAGTGCAGAGCAGCCCCACAGATCCACATCCACCAAACTCATGCTTTCTCCAAGCCCTACAATACCACAGTCAACCACACGTGCTTGAACCAAATCAAGCTTCTTCAACATGGGCAGCTTCCCAAGCACGTTTACATCCTCAATGTCTGCGCGGCGGAGCGACAACGCGACGAGCGAGCGAAATGCAAACACCCCATGGAGACATTTTCCGATATGTTCTCCAGCAGCAACAATGCCAAGCTCTGTTGGGAGGTATTCGCTGCTGTTTGCCGCGGGACGATTACACCACCATGCCACAGAGCGCATCGCACCTGCCATGTTTAGATGACGCAGCGCGACGGGCGGCCGCCATGTGACGCGGCGAGTGCCGTCACGTGCGAGCCGCAGACTCCATGCTCCTACCGCCACTGGCCCCTCTGCGCCCTCTTCGAGGGCCCACCGAACTCTGGGCGAGGCGCATACAAGCGCCAGCGGCACGTGTGAACTCTCGTAGCACGCGACGACGCCATTGAGTGGGATCATGACTTAAGGGACCAACACCTACAGGCTGTTTCGCTTATCACCGGCCTCCACTGCGCTGTGCTGCGCCGGTGCGAGGCACATGAGATTCTGCTCTCCTTTCGTTTACGTTTCTTTTATCAACTAGTCCCTGTTCTACTATATGTTCTTCCACGCACATGAAGGATACAAAAGAAGACAAGCTATTCGTTTGTGCCGCCTTGGAGCAATACACATCACTTCCTTCCGCACCACACAAAAATACATACACACGCTTGTTTCAGGCAAAGCCCGAGCAAAACTATGCACATACGCAGAGAAGTGAGAGCAAAGAGTAGCGTCAAGAATGCAACTAGCAAAAGAAGCAGGGCTGTTGCTTCGGTGAGTAAAATCAGAAAGTCTGAAGGATTAAACGAGCCCACCGGAGATAAAACAAAGAATGCACAAACTCATGCTTCTCTTAACAGCTGTTTGTGGTGCATCTTTCACGAAACCTCCTGTACAGATATATCAAACACCAACTCACCAGATCTAAAGTCAGCGTATGTGTTGAGCTCGATGTCTTCATAGCTTTTCTTCACGATAAACTTCAGCACCTGACGAATTTGCCCTGGGTCGTTCGAGTACACAATACCCTCCTCCTGAACACGACCCTGCCCTCCTTTCGATGCAGAGGTGCGCCTCACGGGTGCCGTGCCGGGTAATGATTTTTGACGCGCCCGCTCGGTTGCGTCACTATGCACAGCAGGGAAACTCAACTCTTCTCTTGTTTTGATCATTCGAAACACCCATTCTACGAGCGGTCGTAACTCACACCAGAACCAACCCCGCTGACGACGCAGAAGCCGCACACGAAGCTCAAAGGGCACCTCATTGCTCTTCTCGGGAATCTGAATGGCGCGGGCTGCCTCCACTGCCGAACGGAGTGAGACAAGAACACTCGGGTTGTGCTCATTTCGCGCCACGTACGTCACGTTCCCGAGCAGTGTGCTGGAGCTCACGACTGGCGAGACATACTCCTCGTTCCGCGATCCACTACCTTTGCCAGAGGTCCCCCCAGGTGACGGCACCTGCTGCTTTATTGGCTGCAAGGGGCTCTGGAACTCGATCGTGTGGACAATGCAGAACAGCAATGATTCCATCGCCTTGTTGGTGACACGTATTGGTTGGTACTCCACGAGCCCTCTCTGGGGGGCAGGCGGAGGAAAGCGGATAGTGTAGAACGTATGCATCCGCTTCAGAATGTTTTCTCTCCGTCTTTTTTTTTTCTCTCTCTCTGTGTGTGTGTGTGTGTGTGTGCGGTGAAGTGTCTGTGGGGCCAAAGGCTCGTCAACTGCACCACTCGGTATTCTCATTGACGAACAAATAAAGCACAAGAACCCCCCCCAAAAAAAGCGACGGAAGAAAGAGGAAGAGGAATAGATAACACAGCCGCATTATTTCCGTTTCAGTGCATGTATATGTGCGTGCACAACACAGAAGCAGCGTGTATGCACATATCCCCCTGTATATCTCTGCATCCAACTCACGATGCATCCGCCGACAGCAGCAGACCAATCAAGTCTTCCTCAGTGCCGGGGAAGGCCACCTCCAGCACCTTGTTCCTGGCCGTGGCTCCCCTTACCAGCGACACCCGTACCTTGTCCGGATAGTCCACGCCTCCTCTCGTCGTCTTGGCGTCCTCTTTCCGTCGTTTATCGGGTTTCTTCTTGTCTTTCTTCGCGTAACCGCCGTACGCATCTGCGTCGACGTCTGCACCAACACAAGGCGGCGTGCTGAGGTGTGCCATGCGTAGCTGCTGCTCGAGGAGCGTCTGCATAAAGTCAATGAGCTCTGCGTTCGCCTTCCCCTCGACGGGCGGCGCGGCGACGCGGACCTCCAGCGCCTCATCCGCGGCGGCGGGGCGGCATGCCAGAGAAGAGCTGCGCGCCCCAGGCTTCGCGTGCACGGTGAGGTGGTAGAATCCCGGCCGCACCTGTGAGATGCAGGCGAACGACTGCATGCGATTGCCGCACACCCCTGTAAGAAGACGCCTGGTATGCATATCCGCAGGGGAAACAACAACAACAACAAAAACAAATCATGAGAGGAGACGACGGGAATGAAAGGTGATCGAAGCAATAAAAATCGATGGTGCGTACAACGGCAAGGAAGTGGAAGACATTTATTCTGTTTTCTGCACAAACAACATGCAGCCATTTCCACATCTCGGTGCTTCACCCATCATCTCCCCCGTTATCCTTACCTTCTCGACCATCCGAGTCACCGTCACACACAGATGCCAGACATGACGTCAAATTGCACGACAAAGTCCCTCAATTTGTTTGCGAGTAGAGGTCACCTACACTCTCAATATTCCCTTTTTTCACCGGTATGACACCCTCCTCGTTCTCCGCACCCTCCTGGAATGTGTAGCTGGGAACTGGGAAGCGGGTGCGGCCAATCTCTTCCGGTCGCTTCTCGCGCTTTGGGTACGGGATGTCGGCGTACACCATGTCCATCTCGTTCGCCTCCTCCAGCAGCCTCGGGGCATCCTGTTGCAGCGGCTCCGTGACCTCCTCAGGTGTGGCAGGCCTCTCCTCAAACACCGCGCGGACACCGAAAGGATAGTCCTTTTCATACACAAAGCGGCGGACGTACTGCTGCATTTTATCCTCCTCCGTCGTGGTGGGGTGCTGAAGGTCACCCGGAAGGAGAACAGTAGCACCTTTCGTTTGGCTATGGTGGAACAGCTCTGGGAGAACGGCGCGGGGGGCGTCGCGCGGCTTTTTTTTCGCCACATCTGCAAAGGTGGGGCATTCGTTGTTCAGCTCTGACAACGCAATGATGTTCGGCGTAGGCATGTTCATGATACCGGCATTAAAGCGGGCCATTGCCTCCATAGGTGACACCCACACAAGCTTCTCCCCAACAGTACTGATCGTGAAGCGCACATCAGGCAACTTTTCGAATGGAATTAGATAGATAAGATTGTCAAAGCGAAACGTCTCCGTTGTCGGGGTGATGATGTTGCGAAAGGGCAGTAATTGCGACAGACACGTCTCCATAGGAAGCTCTAGAACATCCACGAGATTCTTCATCGCCTTTGGGTTCGAGTGGACGAGGAGGTGCCACTTCTTCGGTCCCGGCGGCCCCTCCACTTCTGCGAGCCCACCGCCTTCTTTGGGAACCAACAGAATATTCATCTGCGCAAAGAGCGCACGAATAGCGCAGAGGCGGTGATGCTTGTCCGGCCACTGCGTCTTCACTTCGCGCCGGCGCAAGATCTTGTCCCAGTCCTCCGAGCTGTCCTCCAGGCTAACGGGGAATGAGGGAAAAATAAACTGATCCCGCACGAAACGACTTTTCCCCTCACGATACATCATTAACACCTTGTAGTCGTTGTCCTCACCACTCTCGACTTTGGCACCATCCACGTGTTTGTTCTTCCCTACAACGATAGCTGTTGCCGCGCGTCGTGTGGGGATTGGTGAGCCCAACTTTGGTTTCTCACCGTACTCGCGATCCGCCCACGGCACCGGCGTGGCCCAGTATTCCTTGAACTGCTCCTTGTATGGGCTCATTTGAACATCCATCTGCAGGTTGCGCACTGGTTTTGCGCGAAAGGACGGACTCTCACCGGAGACATTAAGAAGCAGCCACTGACGAGTCCGCCGCAGCATTTCTTACACAACTCCCTTCTAGTGCTGCGTGAGCAAATGTGCGCAGCCGTTTGCTTCTGTGTCTACAGTGGAGGGGATGGTGATGCCGGGAGGAGTGCCGCCACCGCCGCCGCCTGACGCTAATAGACGGCGAGAGAAATGACGTGTGTGTGTGTGTGTGCGCAAGAAGGCCTCCACCCTTTTGTGGGGCGTGGAATGAAGACAGAGAAAGCAAACAAAGACGCACAGACAGGGAAGAGACAGAGAGGTAGTGAGAATACGTTTGCGACGGGGATGAGGGGAAGGCCCGTTTCACACCAGGACTGCAGGTAGACCCACAAGCACGGGGTAGCCACCTCTTCAGTACTTAAAAAAACACGAAAAGGAACAAACAAACAGTTTTTCTCTCTTTTATCTCTCTCTCTCTCTCCTCGTCCTCCACCGTACGCCCGCCCTCGTTTTATTCTGCTTGCTGCTCATCACCAATCACGGGGGAAAAAGGATACGAGGCAGAGTATTGCCGTACTATTGGCGACAACAACATGACAGCAAAGGGGGGAGGGGGAAACGCTCCAGAGAGATGGAGTGAACCAGTGAGTATGTAAGAGAGACCTCTGTGCAGGAGCCTTTCGTCGGTGGAGCACACACGCACATACACTGCATTCACCTTCACACCATTCTATCCTCTCTTCTCTTTCCCCTCTCCACTGTGACACTCCAGTCGCTGAAGTAGCCACGATGCGCGGGGAAATGGGAGAGGAGAGAGATCCACCAAAAAAAGAAAAAGAAAACGGAGAGAAACGGGATAGACACATACGAGAGAACTTCTGATTTCCCAGAAGACCTGTTTCTTTCTTTTTTTTTTTGTTTGTTCGCATTTTCTCCTTCATTTTCCTTCATAATCATCATTCCTCTTTGCCTTAACTTCTCCCCGCCAACACCACTACAATATCACCTACACCTTTGCCACCATCAGCATCATGTGCCGATGCTCTCGTCTCCCGTGCGGACACTTCCTGTTGCTCCAATCGTCTCCAAGCGGTGCATCTTGATGGGGTGAGATTATCTTGTGTGTGTGTGTGGCCGGGGGGTCATTCTTCCTGTGCGCCGTTGGCGCTCCTGGGAATTATATATAGGGGTGCGTGGCCTGCTGCTGCTGGTGTTTTTTAAAATCGTGATGCCGCCGAGAAACGAACAGCAACCCCACCACCAACAACAAAACAGAACGTAATGACACAACCCCCCTAGTCGCGTGAGAAGCGGGAGCGGGAGCGTGACATCTCCCCACGCCGGCGCAGGAGTTCCTCCC